TATTTTTATACCGTCAGTCTCGCCAATTCTTCATTATATGCTATGTTACACGCTGTTTTCCTCTGTCCATCTTGCCCTCAATCTGTCCTGTGAGTATCAGATTTTCAAATCCGTCCTTCCTCATTATGTGCCCCAGAAATTTCAACAGTCTCTTCTTGATGTTAAGTATAAGTTTCCGTTATGTTTCCATTTTCTCTCAAGCCTCGTCTATGGCATCCTCAGTATCCTCGTGTAGAACACCATTTCTGTTGCTTCAAATTTCTTGTTGATCTTTTGAGGCGACTGTTCAACATTCACTGACATATAGGAGGACAGATATCACTTAATGTGAGCATTCAGGATGCAGCTTACATCATATTTTTATACCGTTAGTTCCCCAAATTCTTCTTTAGATGACATGTCCCCTTGAACATATAACGAAGTCTCTCCACAATGTCCCGTTCTTCGTAGCTCTTAATAAATTTTGTCATTTTTTTTATCTTTCCGAAACCTTCTGTCATCCATTTCCTCAAGCTCACTAAGTATGCATTGTTTCCTTTGTCCGTCTTTACTTCAATCGGGCTTGTGAGTGTCAGATTTTCCAAACCTTCTTTCCTCATTATCTGCCCTCAAAATTTCAATTGTCTCTTCCTCATGTTAGGTATAATTTTCCCTTTTTGTTTCCAATTTCCCTAAGACTCTGTTCTTACATTTAGAATACGGAGGAAATAATGGTGTTTCGACTCCGTAGGAGGTCCGTGGCGTGTCCAAGACCCCGATCCTTAGTGCGTATATATGCGCATGATACAACAATTTAAAGGTAAAGCTTGAACCTTAAACTTTAAAATCTGGAACACCAGAACCAAACAGCTCATCTCTTCGAACGAGCTTTGTTGGCTCAAGGCTAGAAAGACTGGCTTACAAAATTCAGCACCGCCAAAACAAACTAATAACATCCCACCACCGCCCAGCAGACCCCGAACTATCACCTATCATGATAGATGGGTGTTCTCTCAAAGAGGCACTTTGCACTGGACATCTCTTGGCAATCGAGCTATCGTCAGACCTCAAGTGGAATTCATTTCTACTGTCTATTACTAAAGATGCTGGGAAAATGGCCGGTGAATTGTACCGTTCCAGGAAGTACCTGACTCACTTTGCTATACTTTATCTTCACAAGAGCCAGATCAGATTAAAAATGGAGAATCTGGACCGGAGCTGCCTAGTATTCATTCGCCAGTTTTGACAGGGATCCCCTTCCCACGAAACGTCGCGAGCATCTCGCTCCTCTATAAATATTTCTACAATATTGAACTTTATAAGTGGGACCTGCCATGCCAAGCACACAATGGTAAATCATCGCCATTCCTTTAGTATTCATATAGCAAGAGATAAGTTTCCACTCGGACAGCTTCTTATCAAGAACAGCTGCATCGTGGAACAGACTCCCAGCAGCATTCTTTTCAAATCACTACAATCTTGGCCTCTTCAAGTCTAGGGTTAACCAATTATCCATCCTGCATTACTTCACCAACTTCTTGACTTTTTTTGCTTTCCTACAACACTAAATGTTATCCCTCTACCTTGAGTGTCTCTTTGGGATTTTTAATTGGATGAAAATCTGTATATGTTATATGCCGTACCTATGAACACTAATGGAGATGTCCCAATCATCATAAATACTTTGGACACTATTGTAAGTCGGGGGTGATATTCTGTCTAAGCAGTCCACCACTAACAGTGGTTTACCTACCTCACGTAGCTGGCGAGTATTGTACAGTGTAACCCGGATATAAGAGACCCGGATATAAGAGAGATTTTCTCTGGTCCCAAATTAGAGCCTGTGTTAATGTATATAAAATAGATCAAACCCGGATATAAGAGAAACCCGGATTTAAGAGACTTCTTCTCCGGTCACGATAACTCTCTTATATCCGGGTTACACTGTATTTTGTTGCCGTTATAAAGGTTATTTACCTCACCACCCCGCGAGGTAGGATGTGGCACAAGGCCGTTATTTAATGCGGGGTAAAACCGAGCCTATAGACTCGGGCAAAAATTCCCTGTTGATCCCGTAAAAAACGGGGTCGGGTAGCTGTCTACCACCCCAGCCGAAACTTTGCCCTTCGGCATAGCCTCGTCTGAGTTCCTCTCCGCCTGAAGGCAGAGAGTTCGACCAACTTAGCTGGAGACGAATCTCCAACTAATTGCCGTTTTAGTTATTCCTCATTCACTAACCTTTTTTAGGTTGCAAAAGCATAAGAAGTGGTGGAACTAACGAATAGGGCTCATCTGAAATTTTGCTATGGCAATAGCGATAGGCTTGTGGTGTTGCATATGTGGCAAAGACGCTGCACCGTGGAGAATAAGCTTTCCCCATTAGACAGTGTAAACGACTTCGGATTCAGTCAAGCCTGGAACGTGATGACTGAACAGATTCAACCCAAATGTTGCATCATTTCTGGACTAAATAACGACTGTCACGATGTGGAATATACGAAACAATAAATCAATTCCAGCATTAATATGCATTATATGTAATACACATAGATAGATAGATAGATAGATAGATAGATAGATAGATAGATAGATAGATATGGACAGACTGAGATAGATAGATAGATATGGACAGACTTAGATAGATAGATAGATAGATAGATACGGACAGACTTAGATAGATAGATAGATAGATAGATAGATAGATAGATAGATAGATAGATATGGACAGACTGAGATAGATAGATAGATAGATAGATAGATAGATAGATAGATAGATAGATAGATAGATAGATAGATAATTTTTCCGATATGAATCTATTTGAATATCAGTATCTCGAGTCCATTTGGTTATCGGGATAATACTGAAAAATTGAGTTCTATTTTTGGACTGACCTTAAAGTATCAGTTGTTCTGAATCTCGCCATGGGTCTAAACGTGAATTATTTCGCCTGGTTCATTTCTTTCTGTTTATATAGCTCAATTTATGAGGCCCTTTTTACAGATGTCAAGTTCTACACATTCGATAGATAGATAGATAGATAGATAGATAGATAGATAGATAGATAGATATTTTTTACTATATGAATATATTTAGATACTAAACTGAATATCAGCAATTCTAGTCCATGTTATCTGGAGAATGCTGAAAAACTGAGCTCCATTTTTGGACTGACCTTAAAGTATCAGTTGATCTGAATCCGGCCATGGGTCTAAATGTGAATGATTTCGCCTGGTTCATTTCTTTCAGTTTTTATAGAGCTTAATTTATGAGGCCTTCTTTCCAGACGCCAAGTTCTGGACTTAGTTGAAATAAATCCTCAAGTAAGATGAACGAAAGAAAAAGCACATGAATCACGCAATGTTTTCCCTTCTATGCTGGAACGTGACTTCAAGTCAAAAACCTGACAGCGCGTCACAGAATTATATAAATACACGGACGCCGAATCATTAAACAAAAGCCGATGCTTGTTTATGTGACGCGTTGTAACTGTTATGAATAAGCACACAATTCGATACGAGGCGGGGTGCTTACTGTAGAACAACATTACTACTTCTAGATACCGCGTACCTTCAAGAGATGCGCGATCATGGCCCTCTAAAATTCTCTATCTCTTCTGGCCCTAAACTGTTTTTTCTACTTTTACAAAGTATTCACAAAAGCTCATTCTAAGCTCTAACCGTCTTGCCCTCAGTGTACCCTGTGAAGTTTAAGTATTTCAATCCTTTCGTCCTAATTATGGGTCCGAGTAATCTCTTCCTGATTCTGACTATGTTGGCATTTTCTTTTAGAATTCCATGGAATTCTCAGTATCCTTCTGTAGAACCACAGTTCTGCTGGCTGTATATTTTTTTCCTCATCCGTGAAGAAATTGTCCAGCATTCTCTGTCTTATAAGAAGATGGATATCAAAATATTTGTCTGTAACGATTTTTTTTCTGTTTTTCAACACTTTGCTTGATGTTTGGAATAGCTCTTTCTCCTTTTCCATCCTCTGTTAAAACACTCCACGCTATTTAACTGTTGTATACCGTTCCTATAAACACTAATGTGTATGTCTCAATGCTCATAAATACGTTGGACATTTTAAGTGGGGATAATATGCTGTATAAGTAATCCACCACTAGCAGTGGTTTACCTACTTCACGCCACTGGCGAGTATTTTTTTTTTTTTTTAAGCATTTCACTCCGAGCAATGATAGAAGCCACTAGCACGCAATGGTTTACAAGATCAGATAGGAGTGATAGAGGAAAGGATGAGGAGAAGGATAGTGGAGAGATCAAGGCAACTGGAGATGTCGATTGACATTACATTTGAATAGTTAGAGATTACAGCTATCAGAGAAACAGGAAAAGGAAAGGGAGTTCCACAGGTGAGAGGGGCGAGATATGAAGCTATTGGAGTAGAAGAGACGGCTACATTTAACAGTTTCAACAGTGAAAGGGTGAGAATGGGAGGCCAGCCTCGTAGGGCGCATGAATTCATGAAGTCTAGGAACCAGCGAAAGCAGCTCATCGGAGCAATTACCGTGAAAGTATTTGTAAAAAAAACAGAGAGAGGCGATGGCACGTCTGTGAGAGAGTGACTGCAGACGAGATGCCAGATCAGGACCAATTGCATTGCATATCCGTCTCTGGATCTTATCAAGAACCTTGAGACAAACAGAAGAGACACCGAAGAGACGTTATCCATTGCAATACCCGCACATCCATGCTTACGGAATTGATTGATTGATTGATTTTTACGGCTTATCAACCTTTTGCATGTCATTTAAAGCTAGAAAATATTTTAGATTGCAAAAATTTTCAGGCAATAAAATTGATTTAGTGATAGAAGTCTTACTAATTAACCCATAACAGGGGGAGACGAGGTTGATTCTTAACTTCCCCAAGATCTTTGCGCGTAAGTGAATATAACAAACCCGACTGGAATTGGAACACGGCTCTCTTGTTAGCAATTACACCATCCGCACATCCGAGCTTATATCATTGATTGATTTTTTTTCTTTACGGTTATCGGCTTTTTGCAAGTTATTTAAAGACAGAAAATATTTGTAGATTGTAAGAATACGTTCGAAATAATAACGATTTATTGTTACTAATCTTATTACTTAAGCCATGACTGCGAGGGAAGATTTTATTCTTCACTTTCCCAAGGCTAGTTGTGCATAAGTGAATATAATGTACTAAACTGGAATTGGAACACTGCTCTTCGGTTAAAAATTCTGAGACGTTATCCATCACACTTCTCGCACATCCTTCCACAGCTTTTTAAGCTTAAGTTAATATAACTAATGAGACTGTAATTAGAAATCGGCTCCCTGATTAACAATTCTGTGTCTTTATATATTACACCATCCGCACATCCAAAATTAGAGCACTTGGTATTCTTTTTCAACATCAACATTATTCGACCGTAGTCGGGATCATCAAGCCAATGCGAACGATCCTTTCTTTAGCTGTATAGAATGCCACCCAAGACTATAGAACACAGTCTGTCCTTTTATTTACGCATAGCTGGGGACTAGAAGAAGAAGTATTCTTAAGCGGTCATCCATATAAGAAACTGACCAAGCGTTGCTTAACTTGGTTGATCGTGCGAGAATAGTTGTTTTAACGTGATATGAACGCATGCCAGTCATCTGCTGGCCATTGCTATTGTGTACCGAGGGTGAGCCTCATTGGGCGCCTCACACACACGCATCCACTCCTCTGCGGTTTTCGTAGCAAGTAAGTTTTTTTTTTTTTTTTTTTACAGGTTAGAATTGCTAACCCGTACCCTCAGGCTGTAGAGTCCAATCATCTTCACTGTTTAATCCATAGATAGCGGAAAAAAAGATAGATTTATAACTTTCCAAAGTTTATTTTGTGTAAAGTGAATATAACGAACTCGATTGGAATTCGATCTCGGATCGATGATTTTTTCCATTTCGAGCCACTAATAATTACACAACTTGATAGGACCTTAATATATATATATATATATATATATATATATATATATATATATATATATATATATATATGTGTGTGTGTGTGTGTGTGTGTGTGTGTGTGTGTGTGTGTGTGTAAGCCCAAGAGAAACTAGGCTTAATGCCTGGTATTGTATGAATGTAAAAAAGAGCAAGAAGTGAATAATTGATTTATTTGTTTATCGGCATATCAAATCCATATGGGTCATTTAATTCCGAAATTTAATCTTCTTGGGAGTTTGGAAGTAATTTAAAAAAGTGTTATGTTATTCTGCTTTCACAATTGAATACATGGTATATGGTACTCAGATTTTATGTATATATATGTTTTTTGTTTGATTTTGTTTACTGGCATATCAACCATCTACAGGTTATCTAATGTTGAAATCTAAATATTTTTTACATAATTTTATAATCTCATGGTAAAAGATATCATTTTAGATATATCGTTTGTAGATCATAAAATGTATCGCTGGTAATTTCACTAAGAAAATGAATTGTTAGTTACTTTTTTACAAATATGTACTGTTGAGTTTTTTGGGCTTTCTGTGGGAATTCGCTGTTTGCCCATAGCTGGGATTCTAACAGGTGCTACCACCACAGCCCAGGGTGGACTTGGGAACAGCAGCAATTAAGAGGTGGTTCCACACTCCGCAACACCTCCAATCTCCCTACCGGCAGCATTGCTGCCGGATGTAGTTTATCGTCATACCCAAGAAGAGCAAGTAGTGAAGTTCCTATGCACGAAAGATAATAATTAACCCTAGACTTGAAGAGGTCAAGATTGTAGTGATCAGCGAAGCATCATGCCGGGAGTTTTTTTTTTTTTTTTAATACAAAGCGGACGTTCTTGGGAAGAAGCTGTCCGATTGGCACTTGCTAATGGAATACGTAGGGAATAGGGATGATTCACTCCTGTGTACGTGGCATGACGGCTCCTAGTTATAAAGGTCAGGGCTAGTGAGGCTAAGGTATGTAGCTCGTCGGCAATGTAGCGACGTTTGACTTGTGGGGAAAAAGTTGTTGGGTGGAAAAGAATTAAGCACCCACAAGACCGTGTAGATACTTTTGAAGACAGGTAAGTGAGTACTGGGCAAATCTAAACCATCAATGGTAGCAATACTCTAATTTCAGTTTTATCTAGCTCTTGTAAAAATAGAATATAGAAGGGGAGAGTCAGATACCTACTGGAGCGTTAAAATAGAATATAGCAAAGAAGAGTCAGATACCTACTGGAGCGGTAAAATAGAATATAGAAAGGGAGAGTCAGATACCTACTTGAGCGGTAAAATAGAATATAGAAAGGGAGAGTCAGATACCTACTGGAGCGGTAAAATAGAATATAGCATTGGAGAGCCAGATACCTACTGGAGCGGTAAAATAGAATATAGAAAGGGAGAGTCAGATACCTACTGGAGAGGTAAAATAGAATATAGCATGGGAGAGCCAGATACCTAGTGGAGTGGTAAAATAGAATATAGCAGGGGAGAGCCAGATACCTACTGGAGCGGTAAAATAGAATATAGCATGGGAGAGCCAGATACATACTGGAGCGGTAAAAATAGAATATAGCAGGGAGAGTCAGATACCTACTGGAGCGGTAAAATAGAATATAGAAAGAGAGAGTCAGATACCTACTGGAGCGGTAAAATAGAATATAGCAGGGGAGAGCCAGATACCAACTGGAGTGGTAAAATAGAATATAGCATGGGAAAGCCAGATACATACTGGAGCAGTAAAATAGAATATAGAAAGGAAGAGCCAGATACCTACTGGAGCGGTAAAATAGAATATAGCATGGGAGAGCCAGATACCTGGAGCGGTAAAAAAGAATATATAGCATGGGAGAGCCAGATACCTACTGGATCGGTAAAATAGAATATAGCATGGGAGAGCCAGATACATACTGGAGCGGTAAAATAGAATATAGAAAGGGAGAGTCAGATACCTACTGGAGCGGTAAAATAGAATATAGCAGGGGAGAGCCAGATACCTACTGGAGCGGTAAAATAGAATATAGCATGGGAGAGCCAGATACCTACTGGAGCGGTAAAATAGAATATAGCATGGGAGAGCCAGATACATACTGGAGCGGTAAAATAGAATATAGAAAGGGAGAGTCAGATACCTACTGGAGCGGTAAAATAGAATATAGAAAGGAGAGCCAGATACCTACTGGAGCGGTAAAATAGAATATAGAAATGGGAGAGCCAGATACCTACTGAGCGGAAAAATAGAATATAGAAAGGGAGGTCAGATACCTACTGGAGCGGTAAAATAGAATATAGCATGGGAGAGCCAGATACCTACTGGAGCGGTAAAATAGAATATAGAAAGGAGAGTCAGATACCTACTGGAGCGGTAAAAAATAGAATATAGCATTGGAGAGCCAGATACCTACTGGAGCGGTAAAATAGAATATAGAAAGAGAGCGTCAGATACCTACTGGAGCGGTAAAATAGAATATAGCATTGGAGAGCCAGATACCTACTGGAGCGGTAAAATAGAATATAGAAAGGGAGAGTCAGATACCTACTGGAGCGGTAAAATAGAATATAGAAAGGGAGAGTCAGATACCTACTGGAGCGGTAAAATAGAATATAGAAAGGGAGAGTCTGATACCTACTGGAGCGGTAAAATAGAATATAGAAAGGGAGAGTCAGATACCTACTGGAGCGGTAAAATAGAATATAGCATTGGAGAGCCAGATACATACTGGATGGGTAAAATATAATATAGAAAGAGAGAGTCAGATACCTACGGAGCGGTAAAATAGAATATAGCATTGAGAGCCAGATACCTACTGGAGCGGTAAAATAGAATATAGAATGGGAGAGTCAGATACCTACTGGAGCGGTAAAATAGAATATAGCATTGGAGAGCCAGATACCTACTGGAGCGGTAAAACAGAATATAGCATGGGAGAGCCAGATACCCACTGGAGCGGTAAAATAGAAATATAGCATGGGGAGAGCATGGGATACCTACCTGGAACGGTAAAATAGAATATAGAAAGGAGAGTCAGATACCTACTGGAGCGGTAAAATAGAATATAGAAAGAATATGGAGAGTCGATACCTACTGGAGCGGTAAATAGAATATAGCAGGGGAGAGCCAGATACCTACTGAGCGGTAAAATAGAATATAGCATGGGAGAGCCAGATACCTACTGGAGCGGTAAAATAGAATATAGAAATGTTAGAGCCAGATACCTACTAGAGCGGTAAAAAATAGAATATAGCATGGGAGAGCCAGATACCTACTGGAGCGGTAAAATAGAATATAAAGAGCCAGATATAGCGGTAAAACAGAATATAGCACGGGGAGAGTCAGATACCTACTGGAGCGGTAAAATGAACTAACTATTATTCCAGCATGGTTAATGAGTCTTTTTTTTTTCTAGTTGACCCTTGCTACTAATTTGAGAGTTTGATCTTGTATTCGCTATTCTAGTACCAAATATAGTTAGTACATTAGTAAATTACTCCTGGTCTAAGCACGCACTTTTTTGAAGCTGACATTCAAACAAAAATCTATATGCCCCAAAAATTGATATCATCAATATCTGCATTGCTTTTAGTATTTCTTTGATGAGACCAAAATATTTTTATCTCACAAGAAAGTAGAAGAATACTGAAGCATGTATTATTGATCTGTTCACATATTTATTTGTGTTTGTGTTGAAATTTTTGCACGCAAAATGTGCGCCTTTATATCGCATGCTAGAGAGACGCGGATATCGAAAATAAGACCGAAAGACTGATTTTTTTCGACAAATGTTTGAGGACATTGTTGAAGAAATCAATGCACCTTGGCAAGTGATTCCAGTCAATCTGTCTTTGGTGTTGTCATTCGTGAGTAAATCAGGTATGTAAAGATAGGAAAATTATGTAATTCTGTGCCAAGCTTTCTTCATGAGAAAGGTACAGGGATGGTAGGATTCCTTGTGGGTATCATAGATAGATAGATAGATAGATAGATAGATAGATAGATAGATCTGTCTGTTGTGGGTGTTAACACGTCACCAAGTAAGACAATTAACAAGAAAAGAATTTCCCCAACGGATATTTAGGGATGATTTCCAGGTTGTAGGTAACATCTTAAACGGCTCTTGCACTGCATTTGATCCTCAAGCTATTCCACAATGTGTACAAGCGGGTCTTCCAACTGCAGGCTAATTTTCTGAATGTTTAGAGAGATAGAAACAGACTGAGATAGATAGATAGATAGATAGATAGATAGATAGATAGATAGATAGATAGATAGATATGAACGAACAGAGATAGATAAGAACAACTTCGAACATAGATAGATAGGAAAAGACTGAAAAATCTGAGATAGATATGAACAAACTGAGATACATAAGGACAAATTTGAACATAGATACGCATAAACACAGTGGGATAGATAGATAGATAGATAGATAGATAGATAGATAGATAGATAGATAGATAGATAGATAGATGTAATCTGTCGGGACACAGCTACGCTACTTACAAATTAGATAGATTCTTTTATTTCCAAAGGGATAAGTGAATGTTACCAACCCGACTGGAATTCAGACCCCCCACCAATTTCTCCGGATCGCTATTACACCTGTACGTCCACATGTAAATAGGAATTAAACTTCGTGCCCAGGATTCCAATTATTTTACGTATAACAGCATTTTTAAGGTGCCATCTTTTTTTTTTTCAGTTTCAATTATATGTTCTTATTGTGGCATATTATTTTACATATATTTTTTATCTGATAGTAATTTTGTATCTGCAAGAAGTCATTTCCGTTGTCTTTTCAATGTCTGATAATTATTTTAATCGGTTTCGCCCCACTCAAGGCAGTAAAGCAGGAAGTGGTTAATGGATGTGGAAGAATTAGGAACAGAAACATTGATAATGAGCCGGGAGATAAAAGAGTAATCAGGACAGTAGATAGCGTTTGACATGTCATTTAAACTTTTTGCAGATTAAATTTGCCTGAAAAGCATTGAACCGGAAGAGGAGTTCCACAAGCGGGAAGTGCGAGAAAAGAAACTGTTAGCATAGAACTTACGGTTGCATCTAGCTAACACAGCTGTAAATTGATGAGATGTCGACGCCAGTCTCGTACTGCGCTTAAATTCAAAAAATCTATGTACAACAAGAGCTTATCTGAACAATTGCCATGAAAGTATTTATAGAAAAGGCACAAAAAGGCAACTTTATGGCGATGAGAAAGTGACTGAAGCTGATCCGCCAGATAAGGACCGATAATATTGTTGATTCTTTTGGGGGTTTTATCAGGTAGCTCAAGGTAAATAGCAAGGGCATAGGACCATATGTGACAGAAATATTCTTAGTATGGACGATTGGTAAACTTATAAATGGCGTTCCAATAACTTGGTCCGATTTTAAATGTGTTAAGATTAAGCATGTAATGATTTTTTTAACAACTTAAGTTTTTTGGCAATTTCAACCATGGAAATACTAACAAACAAACGTTTTAAAGTTTCAAGTGTGTAATTGGAAAAATTGTTCGTAAATTCATACAAACTGGCTCTGTGGCAAATGTGAAAATACCATTGCGTGCTTGTTTATGCTGTTCAGCTGAAAACATTGCTGCATTGCACTGGAATGAGACCGAAAATCCAGACCCCTCTATTCGTCATCGCGCGCAGGAATTGAACCTCTCCACAACAACGTTACATAGTTTCCAATTGCATTCTCGGTTGGTCGATTATGTTGACCAAAAAATTGCAAAGTGCGCGAAATGCATTTCTGTTTGATCGTCCATTATAAATGTGTTAAGTTTAAGCTTGTAATGATTTTTTTTTTTTCAGGCTTAACAACTTAAGTCTTTGGCAATTTCAACCATGATGCCATCATTATTATTATTACTTTTATTTTAATTCTGCTGTGCCTGAGTTCCGAAATGACATCGTGATATTTTCCAATGCACATCTGCATATATGACACATACACAATTTACATAAAGTCCTTCGTAACATGCGAGGTGTACTTGTAAGAATAACCTTTAATGTTTCTTTAAGACATGGGCTACTAGGCATCCCTATAATCAAAATAATTTTTAATCAAACCCTGGGACCCAGCCGCAACTAGAATTGTAGATGCTAACATATGGTACATTCTTTAGATTTCCACTTCAAGATCCTTTGTGTTTTGATAGTTCTTTGAAGATCTTCAAAACTACAGGAATCTGTAGGAATAAAGCATATTCTGTTCTTGTGATCAGTATGTGGAGTAATGGATAGCGGCTCGGATTGAGTAATCGGAGAGCCGAGTTCGAATTCCAGTCGAAATCCATTACATTCACTTAAGTGTACACTTAGGAAAGGTATGAATTTTCTTCTTCTCGGCCTCCCCCACCGATATGCGTAAATAGCAGGACAAACCGGGTTCTATAGCCTTGGATGGCAGCTGGTCTACCGAAGAAAGAAGTAGCAACCTACTGCGGGAAAAAAATCTGCCTCGTCAGCCATGTATCGAAAGATACATGATCGCTTACGCGTGTATCACGCATGGCACATAACTAACTGATGTCTGGCCTATTAGGATTGATTGTTCTGCCTGTGTGCATTGTAATATCCCTTAAAATTGCTACAAATTCTATATTGTTAACGATTGGGGTTCGTACCAATTTTTTGCAGTTTCCTTCCCATAAACGTTGCAGATTTTCCAGTGCTAATATTGTCCCAGCCTCTCATGTCGAGTTTTATTTTTGCTTGTACTAATACCGTGTAACCTGATACAAGATGCTCTCTTGTTTAAGTATATTTATTACAAAATCTATGTTTGAGGTCAATTATTATTATTATTAGTAGTAGTAGTAGTAGTAGAGCCTTTGCAATAAATGTTTAGTTAGTCGTTCTGTTCCCAAGGCTATTATGAAAAGTAGACGAATTAGGAGTGTCAAAATAAAACATTATTATACGTGGCAAAAGGCTTAGACAATTATTGAGACTCGGAAGTGATTTGGCAACATTTGACTTCCAGTATTAAACACAAGAGATTTCTTATTTGAAGAGAATTCGGTAAGAGAATGGCCCTAATTTACGGAGCTGTTGAAACGATAATGAAAACTCTCCCCAAAGAAAAAAAAAAAAGACAACGGGAAGTGAGATGACATTGTGAGAACATAGAGACGATGCCGACTAGAGTACCTCACGTCCCCAGCTGACGAAAATGATGCCTGCACGAGAGCGAACATTAAAGGAAGAAGAAGAAAAGAGGAGGGGTAATTAAAAGAAAATGAAGAATAAGAATAAAGTGTATAAGAGGAAGAAGGAAAAAAGAAACAAAGGAAAAAGTTAGAAAATAAGTAAAATTACAAATACAACGCAAAGGAGAAAAAAGAAAGAGACGGCAAATAATTGATAAGAAGGAAAGGAAAGAATGATATGAAGAACATATGAAAATAGTGTTAATGTCAAAGGGTTTAGAAGAAATGAAAGAAAGAAAATAGGGATAATATAGAAGAGGAGGAGGAAGAAAAAGAAAAAAGAATGCAGGAATGATTAATTGAATGAAAGGATAATATATGAGAGAAATTGAAGAAGAAGAAGAAGAAGAAAAAGAAGTAGTAGAAGAAGAAGAAGAAGAAGAAGAAGATGCCTAGCAACAATAGCAACAAAAACATGAAGAAAAGTGTTGTATTGTAGAAAGGAAGGAAATGAATAAGTATAGTGCGTATGACATGAGCAGACGATAATGAAGAAGAAGGAAAGGCAGATAAAGCAAGAAAATGAAGACAGAAGAAGAAGAAGAAGAAGAAGAAGAAGAAGAAGAAGAAGAAGAAGCGGAAGAAGATGAAGAAGAAGAAGAAGAAGAAGAAGCGGAAGAAGAAGAAGAAGAAGAAGAAAAAGAAGAAGAAGAAGAAGAAAAGAAGAAGAAGAAGAAGGAGAAGGGAAGAAGAAGAAGAAGAAGAAGAAGAAAAGAACGGAAGAAAAAGAAGAAGAAGAAGGGAAGAAGAAGAAGAAGAGGAAGAAGAAGAAGAAGAAGAAGAAGAAGAAGAAGGGAAGAAGAAGAAGAAGAAGAAGAAGAAGAAGAAGAAGAAGAAGAAGAAGAAGAAGAAGAAGAAGAAGAAGAAGAAGGAGAAGAAGAAGAAGAAGAAGAAGAAGCGGAAGAAGAAGAAGAAGGAGAAGAAGAAGAAAAAGAAGAAGAAGAAGAAGAAAAAGAAGAAGAAGAAAAAGAAGAAGATGCCTAGCAACAATAGCAACAAGAACAAGAAGAAAAGGGTGGTATTGTTGAAAGGAAGGAAATCAATAGTGTATATGACTCATGAGAAGAAAATTAAAAAGAAGAAGAAAGAAAGTAGAGAAAGAAAGAAAATGACGATAGTGTAGAAAAAGGAGAACAAAATGAAGAAGAATAAATGTATGAAATAGAGGAAAAATTGAAGAAAAAGGAGAATGAATGAATAAATGAATTAAATAAGGGAGAAATGGTAGTAGTCGTATTAGTAGTAGTAGTAGTAGTAGAAGAAGAAGAAGAAGAAGAAGAAGAAGAAGAAGAAAAAAATGAATGAAATAGTGAAAAAATTGAAGAGGGGAAGAAGAAAAAGAGGTAGATAAAGAAAGAAAATGAAGATAGTGTAGAAAGAAGAAGAAGATGAAGAAGAAGAAAAAGAAGTAAAAGAAGAAGAAGAAGAAGAAGAAGAAGAAGAAATGAGTGAATGCATGATTTAATGAATGAGACAACGATGAAGAAAAGTATAGAGAGCAAATGAAGAACATGAAAGAAAACAGAAATGGTAAAAGAATGTCGAAGAGTAAAAAAGGAAGAAGAAAAAACAAAAGAAAGGACAAATATTAAAAATATTTTTTTAAAAATCCGTGAAAGTCGAGAATGAAGAAGAGAATGAATGTTAATAACAAAAGGAAGAAGTATTAACTGAACGTAGGTAGGGGGGAGGCTGCTCGCAATTGTTCTCTCAATTTATCAAATTAGCTAATATAATAGGTGAACAGTTCGACAAACTGGCTTTTGTTCTCCTGTACATTTGCTGTAGACATGGAAAGAACCGAACAAAAATAATAATATAAAAAAAAAAAAAATT